AGAAAATGTTCTTCTCATCCAAAAGACAACTTTGGCTTGTTGCAATGATTTGACCCTACTCCCGTTCAATTCACTGGGAGCAGGAATTGGCTTCTGGATATTTTCACATTAACGGAGATTAATACTTCAGCCCTGAGAGGTAGGTTTGTGATTTTTTTCTTTTCTGTTACTTCTTCATTTCATATTCCTGTTTCCCCCCCCCCAATATTAAAACAACTTCAGGTGCAAATCCTAGACCTATCTGTATGTATTGAAACTCTTCAGGCCAGACTATCCACTAGCAAAACAGAGTCACACTTAGATAATGGCAATAGTTTGAATTTTTCCAAGAAAAGAAAATTGTGTTTGCATTTTGTTTTTAAGATGGTGTGGAGAACGAAAAGGGGGAAAGTAATAATATTAATCCAGCATGGGCACGCTTACTGGTATTTCCCCCATGTAAATGTTAAAATTGATAATAATAATGATAATAAAGCCTACAAGGATTTCAATGAGCTGCTGATTATCCCAAATATTGTAAGGCCTATTGCTGCCCACAGATTGTCATAATGAGCGGCTTGAGAAAAAGTACATCCTGACCTCGATGTTGTTATGCCTATGATTTTTTCACATAAGTGTCTGGGACTTCTGGTTATCAATCACCATTGTCTGCTGCACTTTGTACACTGGACCTTTTTATTCCTACCAGCTGTCTTGACCTAAAAGTCTTCATTGCTTCAGGAAAGAGGCTGGAGGGAGAAAACACTTTGAAATGCCTACCATCTAGTTACATTTGGGGGCCTTTTTATTTCCCTCTTCTTGAATAACCATTTTGCTATCTTTTTTGATGTATGTTTTAGTGAATTTATAATAAAGCAAATACACAGGAAATGGCTAGAATGTAACAGAAGGTAGAGAAACCAGGACTGGTGTGAGTGCAATACAGAAGTTCTTTCTAATCAGACTACTACATACATTGAAACTGTGCACAACCAAGAAGCTCCAGATGAAGGAAAAGAAATGCAATTAATTGGTCTTAAAATCAAATGGGATACAAATAATCATTTAGCCCTCTAGCTGTTGGCAAAATATATACACATTGCTCTCAATCAAACCATTAACCTGGCATGCTTAGAAAAGGCCAGTAGTCTAAAGGTTAATATTTCAAACAGAAAAAAAATGTACATTAACATCAAATTGGCATATTTCTACTCTCTTTTATTTAGTCTAAAATATCCTTACAAGGAGCCCAAACTTGGAAGGTCCTTATCCCGCTCCAATGATTCCCCTGGGTTGTTTGTATTTATTACAGTGGCTACATTGGTTAATTCAAAAACTGCAAATGGCTTTTTCAAATTCCTGGTAAAGGACCTTTTTGGCAACAGCAAGTGTTATAGAAGTAGAGTTGCTTGAATAGACCGTTGGGCGAAACTACATTTCTTAAGGCAGGGAGTGAACACAACTAACTGGAGACAGGGCTAGTAAGGTATAAGGTGGTGCCAGAAGGTATTAGACTGTGTATCCAGTTGCACTGGAGCTGCTAAATCTATTGGGAGTCCCAAAGATATGACTTAGTGTAATAGGCTGAGCTCAAATAATCTGTGGGATGCACTAAAAGGAAATCAGGCCATTTGTAGCCTGCCTGGAGACCTGTATAATCTGCACAGAATGAAGGACTGTAAAGGTCTAGGTTATAGGTAAGGGGAAACATAATGGCTCCTATGATATTTATCCTGTCACTTTCTGAAACTGAGATATGGAATTCAGCTCCATGTGCTACAGAATGCATAGAGGATAGAGCAGCTTTTGATGTGAGGCATGGAGTTGATGATAAATGTAAGGCTCTTGGTTATAAGGGTCCTTGTTTCAAGAGGGTCCGTGATGAGTAGTGGATGGACATCACAGCAATCAGGAGTTCATTTTATATAAGCAACCAAAGTTCGGATGCTTTTATCCAAAAGCTCATCCAGATCCTGTCGGTCTAGGAATCAGGCTACAAATATTGCAGTATTTTGGCTTTCCCATTTCCACTCATCTCCAAAGTCAAGCTCTGTAGGAGCCTGTTAAAATATGAATGAGAAAACGTTTATGGAAATATTTCAAACTTCACCAAGTTTGGATTTTGGACTGGGTCAAGCGTTGTGTGAAAAGTTCAGGTCAATTCTCATTTTATATGAACGGGCGTGCCCATCTCTATGTCACACTCAGAGCAATATTTTGGCTTCCATTTCTACTAAAGAGATTCTTGTAATGTCTTCCTTAGTAACACGCATGATAGAAATATATTCTCCCTCACGGTTCATCCCTTTATGCCTCCAAATGCCTATCGACAATGGTAGGTAGTAATAATCTTGGTATTGCACTTCTCATTGAGATAGGCCTGAATCAACACCCTGGACCTGAACTTTACTCAATTTGAGGTCTTCTAAATCCCCAGATCTAAATGTTCCTCGTGTACCCATTTCAATTTTTTAATCTTCCAAGCGCTTTACAAAAACTAGCTAATTAATCCTCACAACACTTTGTCATCTGTCTAGGAGGGAAGATGACTGAGCTTTTGGGAATATCATTATAAAAATCATATTAATTCCTTGTATCATCTCCTCCCCAAGGAGAGCATGCCACAGACATCTCCACACCATGCCTATTAGGTTTCTATTCCTCTCTCAACAGTCCCCAAAACCATTCCCCCCCCCCCCATTTAAATACAGACAAAAACTTAATTCACAGCTTGGGAGCAGACTTCCTATCCATCACTGTCAGGGTACAGCATGCACTTTCTACTGTTCGAACTGCGATGAACTACCAGCATTGATCTCATTCATTCATTTATTTTTTAATCAAGAGAATTCAGGTTTCAGCTTGCTGTCAGTGCTTGTGTCCTGAAAAAGATCAGAGCTGCTGAACGGACATCCCACTCAGCCACTTGGATTCAGCCAAAGTGCTGCTGTTCTACAAATTTTGCTAAATTATCGGGACTCTGGATTGGAGTATATAAGCCTCTGTCTTGGATTCCAAAAAAACCTGGAGATAATCTGCTGATTGTAATTAGGTTCCTCTTGCAGCATTTGCAGAAAAAGTGGAAAGAAAAACGTGTGTCATTTTCTTGAGTCTCACACAAAGAAGAGATAACATCCCGTGAGGGCTCTATTACCAACACTCTCCAAGCCTGAATGGTGCCAGAGAAGGATAAAAATAAACAAAAGAAAACTGCAGCCATTGAAACTGGAAACATGACGTCTTGAAAACTAAATGGCTCCAGCCTCATTTCCCCATCATCTCCATGTTGTCCTACATTGTGCAACCTTATGGACAAACTTTTAAATTGAATAAATTCTGTTCAAGTCCCAGTGTAATAGCAATCTGCTACCAGAGACAGTCACTTCAGGAACAAACAAGCCCCCTTAAAAACTCTTACAAATTGATTCCTCTCGGATATTATTTGCTTGCGATGTGGCGTAAAGCAACCTGAGTTACTCAAACCACCTTTTCAACCAGACAGCAGCCTTAATTCCCTAAAGAGCTGACACAATGTGCAAAACATTTTGTTGGGAAAAAAAACACTTAGGGCCTGATTCTCCACTGCCTTGCACCTTGTGCGATCTTTAGGACTGTGTAAAGTGTTACCAAAAAAGAAGGGTGGATTTTTACACCCACTTTGCACAGGTATAAAAAACTACACAAAATACAGGACAGAGGAGAACCAGGCTCACCATTTAGGAGCAGTTCTGTGTCTGTATCCTGTCAGACAGACAGACACTGCCTGGCTATCTGATTATTTGCTTCTTTCAGATTTTACTGGTATGAATATCTGCCTGTGCACTAAAAAAGGAACTTTGTTTCAGTTTATCCGCTCATGCTGCTTATTCCTCATGCAGAGCCATAATACTTTCTCTGTGATGTCATCATCATCTCCACAATAACCAAGTGTGATGTCACAAACAGAATATTATGGCTAGTGTGTGTTTATGTTCAGGAGTGCTGCCAGGTTTTCTGCCGCCCTTGGTGGCGGAAGGTCCCGCCCTGAAATGCCGCCCCCCACAGAGGCAGTGGAAGGTCCCGCCGCCAAAATACCGCCGCGGTCGCCGCCCCCCAAATTGTAGTGCCCTAGGCAACCGCCTAGGTCGCCTAATGGGTTGCGCCGGCCCTGTTTGTGTGTGGACAGCAGGGAGTGGGTGTGGGGCAAGAGAATAAGCAGCTGATACAGAAAAAAAATATCAATGTTTGGACTTTTTAGATTTTTATCAATTGAAATTTTCAGAGTTGTGTAAAATTGTGTGTGTGGACAGAAAAATTAGTATTTAATGACAGTGGACATTAAGATTCAAAAAGTTAAAGCTTTATAAACTGTTAAAACAACTCATCATCACATGTCAAAACAAAACAGATCATACTTGTTTTTACGCTTAATTTGCTAGTCTATTTGTAACAAGCCTAATTCAAAAGTCCAAATTGCTGGATTTTGACTCTAATAAGTTCTCAAGCAGCATTTTTCTGACTGTGCCTATCTGTAAATTTCAATTATTATTGATGGAAATTTATTTTTTGGTGGTTTGTGTGTGTGCAGTGAAATTGACGTTTACTGATATTTATTGATAAAGATCTAATCTTTCCGTGCCTAAGTATATGTAGGGAGTGGAGAGCTGGTTCACCTAAAATAAAATGTGAACCACATATTAGCTTAAAATTCAAAGAGAGTGGAGGAAAAATAGCAGGTGAAAGTCTGTTCCTGTCGTATGGCCCTAACTCCAGAAACACTACAGGAGAAAACCTAAATTCATCTTGTTCAAGTTTGATTCCCAGACCAGAGACGTTCAGAAAAGCATACCGATTTAAGGGCTATTATCTCAGCTGAACCTCGTAAATATATCCTCTGAATTTTCACATGATGATGTTTTGCTTTTCCCCTAAATACAAAGCAAACCTGTATTTGTTCAAGTGATCAGTTGACTGTAGCAACCTGATAATTGCCAAAGCTATAAAAAAGCACATTGTGATGGCTCAACTGAGCAGAAGCATACCTGGTCATTAACGGGACATACAGCTAGATTTTGTTCATCACAGGAACAGGCCACTCGGATGTATTTCAGCCAATTTCCAGCTCCAGTCTGATTAGCATCAGCACAGAATTTCTCATTTCCCAGGTCATCAGCGATCTGAAGAAGAAGAGGAGGTGGAAGAATATTTTTCACTTGAGATGAAATGATAAATATGGAAATCAACAAGTGAGAAATGTACTTTTATAATTATTTGCATTGCAGGGCCCCAAAACAAGAAGTAAAGCTAGAGAAACAGCTTGTTAGTCTACATGACTCATAAAGATATACAGGTGAGTCTCATCTTACGCGGGGGTTCTGTTCTGCGGTTAGCATGTAAAGTGAAAACCGTGTATAGTCAAAATTACATTGAGTTGAATGGCGGGCGGAATCGCCCGCACTACAAGTATAGTATTAAAATTGTTATTTTTCTCTTTTTTTTGTTTTTGCCGACCGTGTAAAGCTGAAATCGTGCATGTTAAATGCACGTAAGATGCGACAGACCTGTACAAACAGAATAACATCAGCTGAATTACAAAGCTGCTTAAGTCCCGGTCAAGAACCTCCATTGAGTCAAGGGGCACATGATCATATCCATAATGAGCAGGGAAAATAGAGCTCCAGTATCCATATATCTATTACAACTAAACTGGCCACCTTTTCTAAACTGCTTTCTATTAACTATCTAGGGACTTATATGGCTCCATCTCCACGTTATCTGTTTCTATTATTAAGTTCAAAAAGGAGCACAGTACTTACTACTGTAAATAAAAACAGACATTCAGTCCTGCAAAAACAAATCAGAACTATCTCCCCTCCCACCAATCTCTGTCACCCTTCCCCACTAGTTCCTATTCCCAGTCTCCTTTCCAAGCCAGTCCCAGACTCCTTCACAACTCCAGTTCCCAGTCTTCCTCCACCTCCCTGTTCATAGTCCCAAATGACTCCCCCAACTCCTGCAGGTCTAGCTTTTGTCCTCTCTGTGTTGAAATCAGGTAGCTTCCTCCTCCATGCTGCCTAGGTCCAGGTCATTGACAGCACAGGAGAGACAAACTTCTTGCTCTCAGTTTTGGTGCCTGGTTGTGGCCCCAGCTCTGGCCTGCAGCAGTCCAGAGCAGTAATTGCAAGGAAAGTCCTACTCAGCCCTACACAACTGGTGCCTCCCCATACTTGGGGGTAGGGGGCCCACAATCTAAAGGGGAGGAGACATGATTGTCCCATGTGTCCTCTGCCCACTGACATCCCCCCCACCAGGGGCTGCTGCACTCTCCCCGCCCCATGTTACTTGTGTGTGGGGGGTAGGGTAGGAGGGGTCAGTCCATCTCTCCCTGCACCTCCCCCTGGTGCGTTCAGCCGCTCTCCCCAGCAGCCAGGCAGGGAGTGGGATGGAGCCACTTCTGCTTGAGACAGCCTGGCTGGGAGGCAGCAGCTGCCTGCTCCCTGCCTGGGCTTGGCTGCCGGGGACAGGGGCTGAGCGAGCCAGAGCCCCCTCTCCCCTCCAGCATGTTCTGGCTCACTCACCCAATGTGACCAGCAGCTGGGGTGGCAGATTTTCATGCAAAATGTAAAAGGCACATCCCTGACACAAAGACCACCACTCTCTTACCAAATTTCAAGTTTCTGCTTCAAAGCCGAGGATGTTAGAGCTTTAGGAAAGGTCAACAAATTTTTTTTTTTTTAAACACAGGCAAAACAACATATTTTTCTTCCCTGGCCTCCTTCTTGGAAATGGCTGACCTGTCTGAGGCTGAAATTTTCAAAAAACATTCAGCCTGAGTCAGTCACCCAGTATGAAAAATTTCAGCCCAAATGGTTGTAGTTATAAGCAACTAAAAAAAGGGTCCCAATAATGGGAAATATCAGGCAAGCTTAATAATAGTGTGGTGCTACCATCCCTGCTTGTAATAAGGAACACACGATCATCCCTGTAGCTACTCTCTCTCTGGATCACTGTACAGCCTCCCCTCGGAAACTCCACTCCAGCCCGGCTTCCTGAAATAATTGTAAAGAAAAAGTACACACATCCTCGCAGGCTCTAGATAATCTAATTTCCTACAACAGGATACAGAAACTGAGATCTCCAATTTAACTGGGTCCTAGACCATAAAGGGCCTTACAGATTGTAACCATAGAGAGGCAAACAGTTCAGAGCGAGAAGCACTGGGGTTTCAAACATTCAGACCAGCATGGCACCTTCAAGAGATGAGCTGCTGCATTTTGCACTAGCTGAAGCATCTGGATGGACTTCAAGTGTTGCGCTAAGTAGAACGAACCGAAATAAACTAGCCTTGAGGTTACAAAGGTGTGAACTACTTTGGCAGGGTCTGCCTCACAGAAGAATATTCACAGATTCTGGTCCAGCCACATACAATGTTTCCACAGTGAAAGTCTGAAACTAACTGTCAAAAAATGATAATTAACCCTTAGCCTACCAGAAAGTGCCATGACTGGTTAGTTTAATGCTTATATATCAAAGTAATGAGTAATCTGAAACTCCCATAGACAAAAGATTTATATTAAAAGATAAGAGGTAAAATGAGGATATAACTCAAACAGAAAAGCTTCAGAAGTTTGGAAAGTTTTTTAAAAAGGAGGCAGTTCTCCTGGGAAAGGAGTGCATTTGTCACCATGGACCTGACTTGTCCTAACTGCAATAATAAAAATACTCTGGGTAACAAAATCATGATGTATGTTTGATGTTCAGCTGCTGAATTAAACACGGTGCAGAAGCTTTTAATTAGCTTAATAAGTAGCATCCAGCAGCATCCCCCAATCTTCACAACATTGTCAAGGTGGAATGTACATTATAGTAGTGACAATCTGAATGAGGTCAAATGCTGAAGAGATACTGTCAAACAAGATAGCAATGTCCAGGACTACCAGCATGATCTAAATTATAAGCTTTCTTTTTGCACTCTCTGAGGGCTGGGGATAGACACTTCAGCGAGTGCTGGTCGAACCCAGAACTCAGCTCAAATTTGCTGAAAGACTCACAACTCATGAACCATTGAGACCTTGTGTTTCAGAATGAAGCCTAGCCTGGCTAAAAATCACATGAAGCTCACTGGTTTGAGCTTTCAAGCCCAAATTGAAACTCTGGGGGCGTGAAATCTCATGAACCAAAACCGGAAAAAATATTTATGCGAAACTCTGAGAACTGAAACCCTCATTTTTCACACACTCCTCCAACCTGTAAATAAACTGAGCTGATATGAACAGCGGCCCAGCAACACCACCAAACTATGTTCTGTACAATACTTTACTGTATCCAGGGCCGGCTCCAGGCACCAGCTTAACAAGCAGGTGCTTGGGGCGGCCAAGGGAGAGGGGCGGCACCTCCGACAATTCGGGAGCGGCAGGTCCCTCACTCCCTCTAGGAAATGCTGGAGCCGGCCCTGACTGTATCACGTGTTTCTCTCTGGTTTTGATCAGGGCACTGAAAATAAAAACAGCTTCCTGTTGCAGGGTGAGATAGTTGGCAGATACAGGGCCTGTGCACGGGGTTGGTAGGCAGGTCATTCGTCCTGTTTTAAGCTGGAGAGTTTTGCTTTCCTAAGCTTTTGCTTTTGTCCCGTGGCTGGTACTGAGACAAAACTGGACAAGCTTTTGTCCGGTATGAGATGGGAGATGCCATTTTGAAAAGTGTACTGCTCTGCCCCCACTGGCATGGCTCACGCTGGTGGGGGCAGGCCCTCACTCTTCCTGGAAGTACCAGGACTTCTAGTATTCTGGGAATGCCTGCGTGGCCACCCTCGTGGTGGGGCAGTTTTGTAAGAAATGAATACCGTTTATGAACATACAGCAAACAAAGCTGAAAAGGAGGAAAATGATTATTAGCACTTCTCTTTAATGGAGACTCTGTCTATCAGCACACTCAAGGCTTGCCTATATGAGGCATTAGTCCATGCTAGAGGGATGTGAATTCTAGTGCATGCTAGCGTGTTGTGCACTCGGTGGCCTGGGTGGATCCTGCTGGCATGCACTAAAAGTTCCCTAGTGCACATTAATGTAGGACTGTTCAAAATGGGACTACAGGAACATGCACTAGGGAACTTTTAACGTGTGCCAGAAGGGTCCACATGGGCCAGTTACTGCACAACAGAATTTATACATCTCTAGTATGAACTAATGCATGGTGTAGACAAACCCCCAGACTGCATTAGGAAGAATCACCTGTGACTAAGGCACTGGACTGGGATTCTGTAGATCCAGGATCAATTTCTGGCTCTGTCATTGTCTTCCTGTGTGACCTGAATCTCTTACTTTGGGTGTGTCCAGTGCCTTACCCAATAAGGCCTTGATCCTAGCTGGGGCCTGTACACATTGCCATAATATAAATAAGGAGCATTAAGGAGCTATATGTACTCCAGAATACCTTCCATATTCAGAGGTAGGACTTTCACTACCACCTTCAGTTTGGCTCTAGATACGGTAGCAGCCTGGACTCATTTAAGAGTGCCTCATTTCATGTGTGCTACATTTTGGTGCAACAGAGAAAGCTGAGTCTGAATTTCGTTCCTTTGCTGTGGTGGGATATTGCCCCTCATCGTTGTTTAGAACAGGAGGAGTTCATAAGGGTTGGGTACAAAGCAAATTTAACAGGCATGGATAATAATTAACTAATTTGTTTTAAAACAGCTAACCCAATTAATTTTATTTAGAAGTCAACGTGGCCTCCAGTTTTTTCAAGGAGCAACTTTTCTCTCGTAAATAATTGCATTAGCACTTTTTTCTATGCCTACAATTAATAGGAGGTGAAAATGTTAGTGGTTATAGGTTTAACTACCTGATCTGAAGGCATAAAGAGGTAGTTAGTTGTGTAATTACTATACTTGCCTGCAATTTAGTGTGGATACAAAAATGACACAGCAGAACAACACACACATGCACACGAGGCTGGTTGTGTAAATCTGACATTTAAACACTAGTTTCTATATTAAGATATCAGTATTTGCCAAAATTTACCATACAGTTTCCCCCATATATGGAAGAGAAATAACTGCAATATCTCAGATACCATTTATTGGCAAATGTTGACTTTTTGATGTAAATATTTCAACGCTGCTGTATTTGTCTGACAAGCTTCAAATGCCCCATGCTGTGAATTGCCTAAAAAGGATGATGTTCTGACATCACAGAAAGATAGGCAGAACCAACTACTTACTGAAATAAAGTACTGTACTTCACAGCCAACTCCATGGTGTACGCATTCTTAACTAAATCCAGTACACTGTGGCTAACACCTCAAAAGATACCATTTATAAACACCCACATCCTTTTTTGATGCTCTATAAGAAAAAAATTGGCAAGTAGTCCCCCACTACCTGAGCAGTGTCCTGTTTTTTTGTGCCGAACACACATGTAGAGAGATGTTTAAAATACCCCCTAAAGCACACCTAGTTTTCTAACCGTTTATGTTGAAAGACGATCAGAAACTTAGTGCTTGCTAATTTGTAGCATCAACTGTTTCCAAATCAGTTAAAGACATTGCCCAACATTTTTAAAAGTGACTAGTGATTTTGGATGGACTAGGCAGCAATTCTATCTGTGTGTCATGTTAAATTATTATGAATTGTATTACAGTAGCATCTGGAGCTCCCAACCAAGATCAAGGCCACTTTGTGCTAGGCATTGTACAGACACATAGTGAGAGACAGTCCATGCCCCAGAGAACTCACAATCGAAATAGAAAAGACAGACAAAGCGTGGGAAGGTTGAAGTATTTCTATCTGTATTTTAAAGATGTAGAATTGTGGCACACAGAGATTAAGCAACAGGGAGTCTGTGGGAGAGCCAGGAATTGAATTCAGCTCTCTCTTTAACCACAAGACCACCCTTCCTCTCTAAATGGCATGGGCTTTTACTTATCGATGTTGGCAAACGCTTCACAAATTTACAAAGCACGAGTACCCCAAGAGGTCCCTTTTTTTCTGAGCAGCCTCAGGTTTGCTTGATGGTCCAGCCTTAGGTGTCTTGTATTGTATATTCAGCAGCAGCAAACGGAATGATACAGAAAAATGTAAAAGTCGCGTTTGTACTTAACAAGTGAATCTGAAATAACTGAGTTTAAATCTAACAGACCAAATTCTGCCTTTTGTTTTACACTCTAACAACCTCTTTTATGCCAGTGAAGTTGTACAGGTGTGCTTGAGAGGGAATTTGGCCCATGGTTAACTGAATTAATCAGCACTCTCTGTAAAAATCACCTGTGACTAGAAATTGACAAATCTTTCACAAAAGGTCAAAAGAGATAATTTATGGATATTTCACACAGTGTCAGGACAACATTAACTGCATTCTTCCTTGCATATCTTACTGTCCAAAACAGTATACCACTGCCCACAAAGCAGAGTTCATAGGGAAAGAGGAACATATGTCTTGACTATACCCAGATCTACCTCTCTGTATGTGCTGTAGGTCACTTAGCACAAAAAGGCTTTGATCCAGATTAAGGCCTTTGGGCCATATTGTAATATTAATCAGAACAAATAAAAATATGTATGATCCCTCTGCAATCTCTCTCTCTGATCAGCTTCCCATTTCTTCTTGTCTATCCATTTTATTGTCATGGATTTCTCCACTGCTTTCTTAGACACAAGTCAAAAATTGAATTTACCTTTTTTTCATGACTTCTCTCACCCATTTCTCTATCACATTTGACAGCTCCACTATCCTCTTCATCATTCTATCACCAAACCTAGGGTTAAGCAACACTCCTTCATTTCTTTCTCTCTTCACATCCAAATTATGTCACTTCTTCTGCTATAATCCACCCCTTCCTCTCTGTCCACGCTGCCAGGGCCATGGCTTGATCTCAGTTTCTCTGCCTCCAGCTTTCCTGTCTCTCCCCTCTTTAGTCTCTTCAGCTAAAACAATCCTCCAACGCTCCTGACTTCAGGTGTGTTTGTATCAGGGGTTTTGGAAAGGCCCATTACAGAGAGATGAATTTTGGAGCCAGGTGTAAAGTTCTGACCAGATGCATTTGTATCTAGCCAAAAGGAAATTGTTGTCATGTTCCAGGCCTCACTTTCCAGCTTCCTCTGCTTTCTGCTGAACAGCATTCAGGATCTGAATCCAAAGGGCTCATTGATCTTGCAAAGACTCCGGCTTGTAATTTATTAACATCAGAAATGCTGAGTTATGAAGCTAAAGTTATGGAAAAATTCTCTTAAACGTTTACAATTTTTTTTTGCACATCATTTGAGGTTTCCTGCTTCTCTAATTTGTGGGCTCTCCATTGGGTTGTTTCTTTCACAGTTTAATGGGCAGAGTCCAACATTTGGCTTTAGCAGAGGTGTGCCATATGGACTGGAATGCTTGCGGATCTGTCGTCAGTTCGCCTAATGGATTCCCAGTGTGCATGAAGAAATGAAGCGCCCATGAGTTTGCCATCAATGACCCAGCGTCCTGTTGCTATAACACCACTCCCCAGAAGCTGAGAGTGCAATAAACCTTCTCATCCCATAGTTGCAGGATCTGCCTTTGACAGTTTGGCTGATGTACGAATTTTATTTGGCAGGAGTCAGGGAGGTTTTTTTCTGTAATGACCCACAAGCAGATTTAGAGCAATAAACTGTTGCCATAAGGTTTTGTTGTGTTTTTTTTAAAAATAAGGAAAAAATGGCTACAATTTATGACTTTTAAAAGTAACTGAAACAGAAAGTCCATTCTTGCAACAAAATGAAGAGGAAAAAAAAACTGTCCAGAGAAACACCTCTGTCAATGTGTAGACACGAAGCCTGGATGAACTCATAAATTCAGCGCTCTGCCTGCAATTAACCAGGCTTCCTGGTGATCTGACAATGAGTTAATAAGAAATGTGTCAGACAAAAACAGGTCATAGGACTGAAAAGTCAACGGGAGATGCAACAGAACCAGCCCTGTTCACGGGCTCCCCACTAGCTTGGAGTCACAGGAAGAGCTTTGAGGGATACTGACACAGAACTACTTTATAAAGCATAAAGTACAATGTCTGGCCCAAATTTAAGCCCCACCTCCATGACTGAGAGGCGCCTCCCCATCCAGAACATGAGTGCCATGTGATAAAGATAACAAGGACTGGAGCAGGGGTCGGCAACCTTTCAGAAGTGGTGTGCCGAGTCTTCATTTATTCAGTCTAATTTAAGGTTTCGCGTGCCAGTAATACACTTTAATGTTTTTAGAAGGTCTCTTTCAATAAGTCTATAATATAGAACTAAACTATTGTTGTATGCAAAGTAAATAAGGTTTTTAAAATGTTTAAGAAGCTTCATTTAAAATTAAATTAAAATGCAGAGCCCCCCGGACTGGTGGCCAGGACCCGGGCAGTGTGAGTGCCATTGAAAATCAGCTCGTGGGCTGCCTTCGGCACGTGTGCCATAGGTTGCCTACCCCTGGACTGGAGGAAGGGTGATTTCTTCAGGAGCCAGGACCTTTGTACAGTTGATGGATCTGCCACAGACTTCTTACATGACGTAGGACAAGTTGCTTAGGCTCTCATCCGGCAAATATTTATTCCCATACATAACTTTACTCATGTGAGTAGTCTAATTGATTTCAAAGGGACCACTAATGTGAGGCAAGTTATGTATTTGATTAAATGATTGCAATATCAGATTCCATTAATCTCTCTGTGCCTGAATTTCCGCATTTGTAAATCGGGGTAATTACTATTCTTAGGCACATCATGGGGCTTAAATTCATTAAGATTTGTAACACATTTCAGATCTTTAGATTGTGGGAGATACTGCATAACTAAAAATTACTATTATTTATACCAAAATATAGCATCTCCAATAGCTTGGAAAGCTCAGAATATGTGAAGCAAAAAGAAACCCTTGCAAGATGTCTTTCCTTGGAAACAAGTCTGTTAATGGCAACTATTGAGACTGGGTTGAAAAAACGCATCCATGAACCAATCCAGTTAGAAGTTTCTATTCTCAAACACAGGGTTTGTGTCTTATGGTGGCCTTCATGAACAGGTCTAGCGATGACAACAAACAGCTACAAGGGATGGGAAATCCACAAATTCAGATAAAAAAAAAAAAAGATTGGTCTTGACCTTTCACTCCCACCAAACTCATAGCTGAAATGAAAATGTTTGGTCAGGTTATGTTTCTATTTCTAGATAATATTCGCCTCTACATGATCTGGTTTCAGCAAGGCCTGGAAGCAGAAATACCAGTGTCCTGCAAGAAATACTGTTCTGGTGATTTATTTCATTTATTTTTTCATAGGGGAAGGACAAGACACCCTCTCCTCCAAGCCCCACCCCACAAAACCAAGCCCAAAGACTACTAGAAATCCCATGAAAACAGCCTGTTCTTTCAAAATGGCCTGCTCAGTTTCTAGACCAAGAGAGTCTGGATAAGCTCAGACAAACTTTGGAAAGGCCTTTGAATTTCTTGTCTCCTATCGGAATCAAACCTTCTAGCCTTTTGAAGGTCTGCCATTATTAATTGCTGTTCTGTTATGTACCAACAGAGAACTGCCAGTGAATATTTCCAATGTATAAGCTGGCTTTGGGTGGGGATAAAGAGCCTGAGAAATTGCAGTGTCCTTATAAAAAAATATTCTATTACATGGACGTGTCTTTCAAGCACAGCAGATTGATTCCAGCTGAGTGTACATTAGACCTGACTGTAAATACAAAATCTCACCAGAGAGAGCAACAGCAGCAATAATAATATAGCATACTTGTCTCCAGAGCTCACTAAACAGGATTTCCATGTAAGCATCTTCCGTCTCTAGAAAGCAACCAGACCCAGCATGTACTAGAAGGTTTAAGAGAACTCACACTTGATCTACGTAACAGGGCAACCTCTGTGCAAAGGGATAAGGATGAGAAATTCAAACCTTATGATAAAAATCAACAACTGTTCTGCTTTTCTTCTCCCGTAAAAAGATCCCTGCTTATTTTCTTGCTTTAAAGGTGCAGGTTCATTACACAGAAGCCAACTCTAAATAATACAGTATGTCAAAAGAGGTGCCACTCATGCTAATTACTGCCGATGCATGTAATCTTTTCTCCTCTCTTTCTCTCTCTCTCGCCCTGCCTCCTCCCCCACAACCTCACTCTCCTTGAGAGGGAAAGGCTAAACTTTCACAGCAACAGCTAATCATCGTGCAGAAAACCAGAAAGTAAAAATGTCAAAACAGAAGAAGAGTTTCAAGCTGATGGCAAGCATTTATCTCAACAAAAGCTCGTGTTCCACCAGTAACGTAATTCATACCACACTGATTTAAATTAAACAGTAGGCTGTAAAAAATAATGTTCGAATCAGATCACAGATGTTGTACACACAAGTCAGAAATGGGATTGTCTGATTCTTTAACACACACACACACACACACACACACACACACACACACACACACACACACACACCAAACTTTGAAACTTTCTTCCCAAGAAAGAGCTCAGAACATATCTTTTTTTCAAAGTGCATTTTGCTTTATCAAAAACCAGAACACAAAAGCAATAGTCTGCTATATTTTAATATTAATCATTCATCAATGTCTGGAGTCTTGTGGATGGAAAAAGAGGCATGTACTTAAAACAGAAGTGCTTGACATGGTAAACAAAAGATGCCGAATATTTGTAGGTACATTGAGATTTAGACTTTCATGCAATCTAATTCCAGTCTGACTGGGGGGGGGGTCCGGGAGGGGGGTGCGGGAAACAGAAGCATGCAGAACAGCACAAGTGTTTTTCTAATGCTGTTCGAAAGGATTGAATGTGGCATGATTTGGGTAGGACTGGCTTGCTATCATTTAAAAAGGGCGATATAGTACTGAACCGTCTCTTTCTAATGAAACCATGTCAACTAGCCAAATCATTGTTTCCATATGACAGATGGGTAAACTGAAGAGAGACACAGCTTAAGAGATTTGCTCAAGTTGATGCAACAAGTCAGTGTTTTCTGACTTCTGGTCCAGGGAACTCCTTTCTGGATGCTAAACACAACGGGTGCCATAGTCCCAAGAAACTGCCATGCAGGGATTATTCTGGGTATTGTTGGCTTCCTCTGAAGAAATGAACAGAGATCATTCCTCAAGATCAGAAAGGTATATTCTACATTCTTGATCTCCTGCAGTTGCAGGGAGAATGGGCATTTGTAGGCTTCAGTTCTTGTTGTCTTTTGCATTTCTATGTGCTGAACAGACCCTGAAAAGAGTAAACAAGAGAGAGGAAGGATATTCTTGTGGGAAAGGCACTGGAATGGGACTTGGCTGGTGTGAGTTCAATTCCTAGTCTGCCCCACATCACCTGTGTGACCTTGGGCAAATCACTTCATCTCATTGTGCCTCGGTCCCCCATCTGTAAAATGGCGATCACAATACTCCCTTTCTCCCACCCTTTGTCTGACGTGCCTAAACTGCAAGCTCAGTGATCGTTTCTGACAGCGCCCACCACCAGGGGATGCTGAACTCAGGTGATGCCTTTTGATGCTACTGTGTTACAAACAAACAAACAGTGGTGATAAAATCAGAATGCACGTCTTTCTGCTGAAATCAAGCCACGGAATCAGCAGGTCCCCAGCACGATACTCAAACGGGTCCACTGCTATGGAGAAACTGTAGCTTGTCTTTTTTTTTTTAAATCTCTAATCAACTTCCATTAAAAGATTTTGTGTACTTCTCTAGACCAACATCCAGAGGAGTTACTGCTGCTTG